GTATAGTGAATTGCAAAATCATTTCATTTTGGAGACTTCCACTTCATTGTTATCAAGAGGGAGAAAAGTTTATATGCCAGACTGTATGTTACATTTTGAGGCAAACATTCAAAAGTAAAAAACTGTTTCTGAAGCTAACCACACCCAAATAAAGGAATCATTGTGTAAATAAGCAATGATTTTTGTTTTGACTGTCAAAAATGTTTTCCTAATTAGTTGCAATGTTCAGTTACCTATATGCAGAAATTTGCATTCTGTTTAAATAGAACAATTGATCACATTTTCAGGGTCCTTTAGTGAAATTGAAACCATTATTAACAGCAAATTAGAATTATTCATATTTATTTTAAAAAATACTGCAGAATTTCATGTGTACTTCCTACAATTTAAATCACACCTTAATTAGCTAATTGTATAAGTACTTCAAATGATAAAAAGTTCTAAAATCCATTTGAAACATGAGTTAAGAGTCAAATGTGTTGTTTTCTTTACCTCCATGTATTTTAAAACTGTATCTGTGTATATAAGAAATATCTGAACCTACACTAAAAAATGGCTCTTCCACGAGTAAATAGATAAATCCAAGTAATTTATTGTGTTAAGAGATCACTTTCTCTGACTTTTTTTTTTTTTTTTTGTAACTTACTAGTAATACAATCAAGACTGGAGCACTAAGCATCCAATGCTTTTTTTTTGTGCAGAACTTTGACTTTTTTTTGAATTCTGTTTGGGTCATACTGCCTACGTACCATACCATTTCATTCTCTTTCACTTCACTTCAGCAGTGAGTTAAATCTGGAAATAAACTCCAGAAAGCTGAATATTGTACTTCTCAATTGCAGTGACCAATCTGAACAACTTAAAAACCAAAATGAGTCATACTTTAGGCAGATATTTTCATCAATTCAACAAAGAAAACAGTTGTATTGGGCCATGGTTTGGGTCATAGTGTACTGCAATAGAAGAATGAGAAAAGCAGGGCAGTAAAGTGCATTCCCCACTGGGCAAAAAAAAAAAAAGGAAAGCCAGGAAACTGAATTCTGACTTCCCAAAACAAACTAGTATTTTTCTTTTAAAAAAGAAAGTCTAAAAGAAATTTACTATGTATGTACAGTAACTATGCGCTACTAAAGAAGCTTAGAAAATGACAAGAAAGGACACATAGCATGTTGCCAAAGAGACATGCCAATGCAATCGATTGAGTGCAGAACAGGCAATGCTAAAACAAATACAGATCCTGGAAAACTGCAGACAAATTAGTAAGAGGTGATGTAACTAAAAAAACAGTCAGAAAAACTAAAGAATTGCAAAAGAACTACTTCTAAAAACTCAAAGATTTCTTACACTGAGCCTTGGGCAACAGATTGACATACTTTGGTAATGTGGTCAAATTATATAATCTAACAAACAACAGAGAAAGATGTGATGCTCCAGTAGAAATATTTGAATAGAGGAACTGGAGGAAAAAAAAAAAAGATTAAATAATGTTGGGAAAAAAATTACCAGGGAAAACTCTTATCCACTTACAGTAAAGCAGACTATGGAAGTCATAAACTTTTGACTGGCGAACTTGAAACATGAGTACAATAGGGAAGTGTTTGAATGCTGCTTAGCAAGAAGTTAACTACAGTTGCAAAGAAAAAATGATCTGAAATTATAAAAATTATACTGGTATCTCAGAGGAAGTGTTTGCTGTTTATAAAAATAGTTCAGTTTGCAAAACTTTGTACAAACATTGTTCTAAAGTGGTCTCTAATGTTATGAATGTTGAACAGCCAGAAACAACTCTAAAATGGCAAAGTCAGAGTGTGAGGATATGGCTGGCTAATTTATTCTTGAAATCATTTTCTTCAAATGCTCCTTTCCACCATAGGTGAAGAGCAAGAGAGAGATTACTACTGTAAAAATAATAACTGAAGGACATTTGATCTCATGAACACGTTTTTCAACTGTGCTCATAGTTTAAATATAAGGGCTATCAGATTATTTTTCAGTTTCTGGCTTTTCGCGGTCATGGACTGTGGAAGGTGAAGGTATTTTTAAAAAATACTTGTTTATATAAATAGTGATGTGATGTGTTCTTTGCAACGTTCTGTCTTCAGAATCATAAACCAAATGTTTTCTGCTGTCTCCTGTTGCTTGGATTGCAGCCATAATATTTCAAACTGTTCAGGAGATAAACATTAGAGAGTTGATCAACGTTACAATCCGTAACTGCCATTTAAAATATGAGCATGTGAAGCTTGAACTTGCTGTAATTCCTCTTAAAAATACATATGAATCACTTGTATTTAGAAATGATTACAAGTTTTACAAAGTTGATTTTTCTATTTTTTGCTTTTGCAGTCTAAAAATGCATTGGATTTTGATATGCTAGTACAGAATGAATCAAATTTTGTTTTCACGAATACTTTCAGAGAGGGAGAAAATAATTTCATGATCAACACAGCACTTCCTGCAATTGTTATTGATCCTAGTAAGTGCTGATCAATCACTTTCCCAGGAATGAACTCTGATTTTCTCTGTTTCAAAACAGAATTTTTAACAGCTATGATTTATTTTTCTGTCTTTTTTTCATATGTAATCAAGATCAGATGTCAAGCTCTATAAATAAGTATATAGGCTACTGGCAATGCCAATATTCACTTTTTTTATAGGACGTAAATATACTATTGAATGCACTACCTCCTTTACGGAGTAGTAATCTCATTTTCCATGCCAGCAACTGTAGAAGAGGATAAATATGAACCATTTCCTACATTTACTTTTTTAATTCCCATTTTGATCTTGTTGCTAAAATAGAAATTTCCTAAAGTGATTGAGTGATTTAAGTGCCAATTCTGAAAATTACTTCACAGCTTTCAGGGATGAAGTGCAGACAGTGTGAATTATTATTTAAAAATCAAACCCATAAATCTCTCAGTAATTCAGTCTGCTTTATCTTTAATAAATTAATTTTTATCATAATCTGTAATCCAAGTATTCTGAATGCTATAATAAATTGCTTAAAGTACAAACAAACTTTGAACTCATCTACCTTTTGTATTACTTCAGCAAACAAATCTTCATATTACTCTTTTTTTTTTTTTTTTAGTGAAAAGTGTCCACTGATAACACTCCAAGTATCCCATAGCTAATTGGCATGCAATCACTTTCTTAGATGAATAGTGATAAATACTTAACATATTTTGTTTCTATTTTCAGGTTTTTTTTCTGGCACTCTCCTACAGACTTGTTTAGAAATGTGAAGATTACTCTGTCTGATGGAAATGTGACAAAATGGTGGATTTTTATCTGAAGCATGTGAATATATATATATAAAAGAAAAAAAAAAAAGATAAAACCAGTGATCTTAAAATCATAGAAAATCACTGCTTAAATTGCTGCCAGTATATGACTTGATCTTTTGAGTCCCTTCCAACCCCTGCAGTTCTGGGATTCTGTAATTTGTTTTGTGTGATAGGCACCTGTCACTCTAGGTATACATGAAAGAAACAACCTTAGAAGAATTATAAGCAAGTCAAGAGTTATCACTTTTCTTGAAAACAGAATTGCATTGTATATTCTGCATCTGTCTTTGTTATAGGTCATTTTTTGGCTGCCTGTTGTGTTAATCAACTCCAACCTACCTAAATATTTCTCTGTGATATTGTTAGTTGTGAGGTCATTCTCATTCTGCAAGTGAACTTCAATACTTCATCATTCTTAAATAGTATGTATCATAGAAATAATTCCATTGTTCTAGTTCAATAAGCTCAGCTCTATTGCCTGCTATCTGTTGTTTCAATAAAATTTTTCCAACCAAGCTTTTAGTGTAGAAGATCTGAAAACATATTTTCATCAATATTTTAGTGAAAATGTTCTTTCAATTTTTGAGATGGTTCTGTTCTCTGTAATCTATATACCTGCTGTTATTAATCCTCACAGAGTATACAGGACACCAAAATCACTCTAGCAAGCATTCATTCCGCTTTGAGACTTCCATCTAATTTAGATTCCTCTTTAAAGTACATCGTAGTCTCAATTTTTTCTTGTAACCCCAGCTATATCTGATGTCTTATCAAACCATATTAGTGGACTGAAAACTTGCAAGGCTTGCAATACTAAGTCAAATATGCCCTGAGGAGTTTCCCAGTTTGATACTGTGCTGCTAAATGCAACTGCTTAGAGTTATAAACTTGCTGAAGTTAGAATTAGGCGTTCCAGTTCAATCAGAGATGCTGAGTAAATTCGTGATAGCCAGTAGATATAAGAATGAGATAATGGAGATATGTGAACTGGATGGAAGTTGTCTTGGAAGCAACATGCTTCCCTTTTACAAAATTCTGAAGAGGGTGTCAGCTAATTGTTTGCCTTTTGAAAAGTAAAAAAAGGAAGAGGTGGATCTTCTGAATGTGAGAGAAAGTTGTAATGCTTGCTCTGCTAAGGAAGAAGCAGGTGGTCATTCTTCCAAGGAAAATAGGTATGAGGCATGAGGAGGGAAAGCATATATTGAAATTAAGGGGACAGGGTGTCAGTGCTTATGCAAGCTGACAAATGCGAACAATAGTGTTGGAAAAATGAGAATGATCCAAATCTCAGTGTACTCAAGCAAGATCAGTATACCTCCACTTAGTTAAACATCAGTGCTTTTGAAATATTTTTCTCTCCTCCTTTTCTCTCCTCTGCTTTTTCATTTGTTTTCAGTTATAAATCATGGATTCTGCTTCTGTACCTGAGTGAAATGAGGATCTATATGTCTATAAGTGTACATGTGTATAAGTGCCACTATGTTGGTTCATAGAAGTGTAAGAAAAAGAAATCTTAATGAAATAAAACATCAGAGTCCATCAGAGCAGTTCTGATTAGTCATTCCTTGTCATGCATTATTATATTATTATTTTGCAAAATACAAACGAAAGACAAGTATGTTTCGCATCCTCTAGAGTATTTATATATTTCTATATTTATATAGCAGTATTTTACAAATGCCTTAAAAATTATTTTTGAGAAAAGTCCCTCTGAGTGCAAAAGCACAGCAATGCAAGGCTTATGCCCTTTCATATTTCTGTTTTCTTCCTATATTTCACAGCCTTTAGGAGTAGTTTGCCACCTTGAGGTTTTAGCTGGCTCTTGGCAGGCTGGCATTTCCCTGCACAGCAGGCACTGGCAGTGACAGGTAGGAGTGTTGGCTTTCTGCTGCTATTTACCTGCTGCCTGCTTCTTCAGGAGCGGAGTCTGATCTATACAAATAAAACAAGGGAAAATGATTTGGCAACTCATATTTTAAACCCCTTGCCTTTATTTTAATTATTCTTGCATTTTATTTTTTTTAAAGAAAGTCAGGCTATCATTTTACCAAATTTCCTGCAGTGGTGGAGTGCACGATTTCTCAGGGTAGCATGGATAACGAGTTATGGCACAGTACCTTTACTTGGCACCTTAAAATTCAACCTTCATTAGCTTACCAAATGCCTTTGTTCAGAAGAACAGATTATCAAGTTGCAATAACATGCATTTCATTTTTCATCTTCCCAGGGAACAATGGGGGGGAAAAAGTTATTTCCTCGGATTTCCTGCTTTTGCTGAACTGTGACTGGTCGGAACTCTGTATCATTTTGTTCCTCTCCTATTGCCAGTCTTCATTTCTATGATTCGCTCGCTCCTTTAGAAGCTTGGTGTCCCCAGATGAATCCTCCTGTTATGAATGAAAGAGTTTGCCTGAGTACAAGCAACAACAACCATCCTTTTGTTAGAGATTTTGGTGGGTGCTTGCTATTTGGGTTCAATGAGTAATGCAAACATCTGCTGCCCACGAGACTGCTGCAAGAACATACAGATTCCTTATTTAAGTCACCAACAAACAAAGAGAGGGAGGAGGTACAAGATCAAATCAAGCCCATGGGAGACAGTATGATCTTGATTCAATAAGTTGAACCCATTTTGTGCATGTTTCCTTAAGAAGATCAAATAACAATGGTTAGCGTTTAGGAAGGAATTTGGGGAAGAAGATATCTGTGGGAATTTTGTTGTTCTGTTTTGTTTGTTTGTTTGGCTGGTTTGCTGCTGTGGAGGCTGGTTTGTTTGGTGTTTTTTGTCCTTTTCTTGCAATCCTGTCTTCAAATTTTTTGCCTGTTTCTTAAATCAGCATTAGCACATACTGAGAGGATTGTACTTCTGACTGTTGAGTGCCTGGTCTGGGCCAAAAGAGATGGCTGATCTCCAAGGCCATCTGTGTGGCACTTATGAATTACATGGTCATTTAATATTTCTAAAATCTAGGCAAATTTGTTGTGCTACCTCGTTTAATCTAGCTATTATTCACATGAATAGCAGTGATCAAATTCATATCAAGAGATGTAGGCAAGACAGAAAATAGTAATCAATGAAATTGTAATCAGAATTCAAGGAAAAAGGCATGTGAAAAGTCAAGATAGTATCAAATAACACTTCTACTTTTTCCATTTTCAATGGCATTTCAATTTGATTTTACACGAAATGAACAGGCGGGCTGGGAAACAGACGGATGAAAAACAAGCAAAAACAAGAGAAACAGAAGGGTGGGAAAGATTTGAAAAGACAGGGCATAAAAATCTATAAATATGAAATGTAATAAAAAGACATGTTACAAGGTAATACAGAGGACACAGTAGGAAAACTCTGACTTTTTCACTGTATTATACAAAATTCCCCACAACAGGTTCTCTATCCCCAAGTGGTAAAACTAATGCTCAGTGTCAAGCAGGTGACATTCCCTAATGCGGACAGCATTTCAGCTACATGCATGTCCAGCTATCCGTGTTCACATTGTCTATTTTATCTCTTTTGTGCTGTATCTCCTTGTGTGCTATAACAATAATTCTGAACAATATAAATTCAATAGAATTAGTTCCAAATGTTGCTGAAATATCCAGTTTATTCCGCTCTCTCAGCATTATTGCCCTGTCCACAGCTTGCTACCTTTCTAATATCTGATTTGCCCAAATTTGTACCTCCTGTCTCTCTTAATTTCAGAATTTTTGAGTGATTTTCTTATTCTTGGTTCCCAGGCTTTTTCTTCTCCATTCTCTCTGTCAAAGGATGATATGCAGTGCTTGGATTCTTCCCCCTTGCATCTATTCTTGCCTGGCAGCTCATCCCGGGCTTGTGGTTTCTGACCTCAATAGAAGAACTGACAACTCTCTTCTTGGTTTGGGAAAGAGCAGAATTTCTTTATTAGATTCTTCTTCCTAAGGGAACAGGGCTTATATTATTATGTTGTCTGCATCTGTCAAGAGCCATCCCTTCCCCCACCCACTGAATCAATATGCCCATTTCAATCACATTGCCTATTTCAACCAAATCTGACACAGGATAGAAATTAAGTTTTCCTAAGTTTCATGACAGTAGGAATTTAGGTAGGCAAAGCTCATCTTGCAGATGCCTAAATTGAAGGCACCTGTAGCCTCTCTTGTTGCACATAGGAGAATCTCTATTGAAAGTAGTTTAATCAATGGCCGAGCAGTAGACATGCTTATACGACCACAACCAGTTCTTTCTTACATGACCGGGTCAGTCAATTCTGACACAGATCTATGCAGCATCACTGTTATGCTTACGAACGCTCAAAAAAATTCCTACCCATTTTTAATGGAAACAGTAACTCTCCAGCATCAGCTTTTCCCTTTGCCCTGAATGTCACAGGTGGAATTCAGGTAAGAGTCACCCCAGGTCTCTGCTGCAAACTTGGAGAAGATGGCCCATGGTTTCAGAGGATCAGATATAGATCTAGGCTACCTACTCAAATAAAAGTAACGGTGGCTTGCCAGGAAATAATTGTGCACATTGGGAATTTCTTCTTTTTTATCAGATAAAGTACAAGTAGTTCAGCATATCTGTAAGCAAAACAAATTACAAAGCTTCCCCTGCAGCATATGTTTCACTTTTCCTTTCAAAAAAAGCATAATATGTTTATGAAATTAGGGTACTCCCCCAAAGGGCCTTGAATAATGATAAGATATATGAAATATAACTACTGTATGCTTTGAAACCAATGTTGCAGAGATAAGGATTTAGCAAGAGTGTAGTTCAGTCAAACCTGATTAATTTCTGCTTGGTTGTGCCTAAGCAACCAAAACAGTTCACTGGCAGGCAGAGCAAATGACAAGCGCTGTATGTGCCACTGCATTATTAGTCTGGAGAGGATACTTTTTAATATTTATAAAAATGATTTGCAGCCTGATTCACCCTAACTAGGTCTATCTGCATTATCTTATCACATCCTACAGTGATACAAAACCTCAAAACTGAATTAATTGTAATATGACATATAAAAGAAAAACAAGTAGTAACTGTTGTGCTGTCTTAAGACATTGGAGATAACAAATTGAATTTATGATTGTTGGTTGAGAAGATAACAAAGACATTCTAATAAAGATCTGTCAATAAACATCAAAACATTTTTTAAGATTTCTATGCACTTTTTCTTACAAGCATTTAAAGAATTCAGCCTTCACTGAAAACATGGAATTAGGATCAGACTTACATTTAATAGGAAATGACAAGTTTGGTGACTTTTTAGCAACCTAAGTTAAGAATTGAAATTGGAAACAGAGATGTAACGCCAACCATCTCTTGCATCTTTAGAAACTTTTGACATTACAGTACAAACAACAGAATCACCAGTGTTGAAAATGACCTCTAAGATCATCCCATACAACTATCCACATATCATCAATATTTCCCACTTTAAACCATGTCCCTCAGTGGAACTTCTAAACATTTCTTGAGCACTTCCAGGGTCAATGACTCCACCACCTTCCTTGGCAGCCCATTCCAGTACCTGGCCACTCTCTTGGAGAAGTATTTCCCAAAGTCCAATGGAAATCTCCCTTTGTGCAACTTGGGTCATTCCCTCTTGTCCTATTGCTAGTTACGTAGGAAAAGAGTTGCAGAAAACAGGAATTATATTTTTGATTGAAAAGGATCAGTAGAAATCGGATACTATTCAGGTATAGAGAAGGCACTTGCAACAGCAATAATTTTTCCCATTGTTGAAATATTTAAATCCTTTTTTGTACATCTCTTTATTTTCCCTCATATACAAAGAAGAAGATCAAAGACAGGTTTGTTTAGATCAAACTAGAAGATGATCAAGGACTTAAAGCACTTCCATATGAAAGTTATTTAGAGTACTAGAACTATCCAGGGACATAGAAAAAACTTCAAATACTGACTTGCCATTGGATTGGCTTATATTCATTCCTTATAATAAATCTCCTAAACTTAATACTTTTCAGGAAACACTAAGACTTTCTTGACTTGCAGCTGACTACAAGAAACACGGGGAAAATGCATTTTAGAAAAGCATCAAATGAGAACAGAAAGATTTTGAAGGATATTTCTAAAATAACTTTCACTTGGTACTGTACATCCACTGATAAAACTTGAGATTTTAAGGTTTAAAAGATCTGACCTTGGCTACTGACTGCCAGCTACATAACTGACAGTTGAGTCTACTGGTAAGATTTTCAAAAAGAAATTATGGCAATAAAGTGTTTTTCAGATAGCTGGTACAAAAATATGGTCAGCTTGAGAAGGGAGAAAGGGTAAGGATAACAGCAGTGTTGGATTATTAAGGGATCTGGGATACAGAAGTAAATACTGTATTACAGAAAAGGCTACTGCTCTGAGAATCAAGATGATATTAATCCATCTTATAGTCATAGAAAAATGGAATTTACTGAATTTCAGGGGACAGATCTGGTGAATAGTAGAGTACTCATCCCTGGAGGTATTCCAGAAATGTGTGGACAGGATACTGACGGATGTGGTATAGTGAAAGAACTTGGTGGGTCAGATTAATGGTTTGACTTGATGATTTTGAAGATCTTTTCCTGCCTAGATTATACTGTGATTGTACAAAATAGTAAATTGACATTAATTTGCATTTGCTGGCTAATCAGAGGTGATAAGGTCTTGAAATTTCAAATGTCAAAATGTACTTGACTTCTTGACTTCTAAACTGTTCCATTTTTAGTGCAAAAATAATTCAAACTTCAGGATTAGACAAAACAGCTTAGATCATGTCTTCACTGAGCTAAAGCTCTATGTATTTTCTTTTTTCTTTGGGCTAAAGTATTAGAGCTATCCTGTGTGTGACAGAAGACATGGAACTCAGGTTTTACTGTAGCATAGATTAGGAAAGGTTGAAATGCTGACTGTAGTGATTCAGCACCTTGCAACGTTACAGTGTATTTTTTTTCCTGCATTTTCACCACATTGTTTTCTAACCACAGAATATTTATTATCATTATTACTTCAGGTGAAAAATTTCACATTCCTGAAAAGAGACCACAGGAACTCAGAGAGGTAAGAAGGATCATAGAATCATAGAATCACAAGGTTGGAAACGACCTATAAGATCATCCAGTCCAACCGTCTCCTCATCACCATTGCCACCACAAGCACTAAACCATATCACGCAGCACGTCATCCAGGCGCCTCTTGAACACTGCCAGGATGGCAACTCCACCACCTCCCTGGGCAGCCATTCCAGTGCCTGACCACCCTCTGAGAGAAAAAGTTCTTCCTTATGTCCAACCTCAACCTCCTCTGATACAACTTGCGGCCATTGCCCCATGTCCTGCTCATTGCCTGGGAGAAGAGGCCAAATCCCTCTTCACCACAATCTCCCTTCAGGAAGTTGTAAAGAGCAATGAGGTCTCCCCTGAGCCTCCTCTTCTCCACACTGAGAAGTCATCCTAGTCATACCTAGTCATCTGAAAATTGAGCTAAAGTGCATTCAGTATTCAGTGGGACAATGGCCTCAGTCACAGGGAGGTTTTTTGCAGTGCATTCAGTATTCAGTGGGACAATGGCCTCAGTCACAGGGAGGTTTTTTGCAATACTAAAAGGATTGTGAACAAAAGACAGCAAAGGCAGATTGAGCAATGGTTCAGGGAAACTGTGTGGGCAGGAAATACAATGAAGAGAAATTCTAGGTATCCACATGTTTAAGCTTTTGGCTGAAATATGCCTGGAGAATACTTTGTTTGTTTTGAATGTTTAATCTTCAGTTCTATTGAAAGCTCTAACAATAAAAAATATACAACATTTAGATAAAGGCAGGTTAAGTTAATTCATTATTGCAGTTTCAGATATTTCATTCTTTTTTGTTCTGCAAGGCAATTTCTTCTGCACAAGAAATAAAACAAAGCTTAGTATCACTGTACCACTGTAGAAGTTATATATAAGGTTTTATGATAGCAGACCTAAAATCAGATTTGTCCTTCTCATGATACTGCCACTATAGACTTCTCAGAGCCCATTATTTTGGGAGCCACAGAATCACAGAATGGGTGAGGTTGGCAGGGACCTCTGGGTCCAGCTGCCCAACCCCTGCCTGTGCAGGAGCACCCAGAGCTCACATTAAGGCACCTTCTGAAGAACTGTAACTCCACAACCTCAATGGGAATCCTGTTCCAGTGTTCAGTCCTCCTCGCAGAGAGAAAGTACTTCCTATCTTTTATTCTCTGAAAAGACCAGATCACCAGGAATTTGCTAAATTTTTGCAATATTTCAATATTATTATCACGAATAAACTACCAAGTTTGCCTAATTGTCCATTTTAATATGGCTTAATAATATCAAGAGCAGAAGGGCCTTCCTCCACAGGCACAGTTGATAAAACCTCTCCAAGAACAGCACCTTGGTGTCCTGAGTCTAAACTCATCCATGTGTTGCAACTTGCTGTGTTGTATTCCATCTGTAGGCAACAGTGACTTTTGCCAACATCAAAGCACAGGTGAGCCCAAATTTCTGTCCAGGCTTATTCACAGATTCATACTATTTAGCCACAGTCTGAAATCAGGATTTCTGGTGAAATACAAAGCTAGGAGTATTTCATAGGATGTCAGTTTCTTCTGAAAGCATTACTCTTGGCTCTCATAAGCATATTATGAATCAATATTTTCAGGGCTTGGGCAAACTGTACTGATAATATTGCAAATAAACAAATCTCTCTAACATTAATTTTTAATACATGAACATAAACAGAACCACCTACTCCAGCTCTTGCAAGCCCACCCTTTCCACAGGGACGCTGAAGAATCACAGATTTTAAAAGTGTCCTACTGCTGCCATCTGGCCGCCAGCCTCCTGCTGATCCCAATTGGCACTTACAGCAGCAGTCAGTCAGGAAAGGAGCAGCTTCCACAAGCACTGATTTAGTGCCTTAGGAGACAGATTGGTAGTGACTGAAGGTAAAAGGGTTTTAAAACACAGTAGAAGAAAAGGGAAGGGAAGGGAAGGGAAGGGAAGGGAAGGGAAGGGAAGGGAAGCTGCAGACAATAGACAAGCTAGATGAAGAGGATAAATGAGAGAAACTAGGCTGAAAAGAGGAACTTGAGAGGACTCTAGAATGGTACCAATATTATCATAGAATGGAAACAGCAGCAGGCAAAATCTAAATTTCATTTTTTTCTCGTTTTCCCTGATTATGAAATAGTAATGTCTGTATCCTTCCACGAAATTTTATAGAACAATTGTGCTTTAAGAGCAATACATAAATCTTCTACCTGATCTGGGAAATAGTTTCAAACTGAAAAAAAGGGGATTTGGATTAGATTTAAAAAAGGCATTTTTTATAATAAAGGTGATGAGGCACTAGAGCAGGTATGCTAGGACGGTGATAGAAGCCCTATCCCTGCAGACATGCGAAGTCAGGCTGAATGGGACTCTGAGCACCTGATCTAGTTGTAAGTGTCCCTCTTGATGGCATGGGAGTTGGAAAGGTGACCTCTAAGGGTGCCTTCCCTCTCAAACAGTTCTAAGATTTTAACATTCTGTAGAAATGAATTATTTGCCTTTATATAAACTCTGCTTTAATTGGATGGTTTTGATCTCACATATTTGTACTTCCATCATGAGTGATATTTAGAGAAGATGGCAGCTAAGAAGCAGTGAGATTAACCAAAGCCCAGCCTTGGAACAGTGGCTTCCACAGACGCGTGCATTTGTGCAAATGAATTCAGGGCTACATCTTCTACAAGTAAGTCATACCATTTGCCCCAAATGATGCAGGTGAAGCTGCGCATGCCCAGAGGGGGGTTTGAAACTGTGGGTTCTCATCTAGTTTAATTTAGGTCATTGGTGGAAGTCATTTACAACTGTCAACCAGTGAGAGCTATGTGAAAGCCACCCCACAATGTGACATTGTTAGTTATTTCTTCTAAGAGGAAAAGTCTTATTAAAACAGCAGGAATGCTGCAGTGTAATCAGATGTGGAGTGCACCTTGCTGGTGTAGTGTCAGCAGACTTGCTCTGTGCTATACCAGGCAGAGCTCTGCCTTCCATGTCTGGTCTGGTGTCATTTCTCTCTGCATGAAGCCTTGTGTCTAGCTGAGGGATTGCTGACATCATGGCACTCAGGAAAGTTAAGTTAAAACACAGTAAACCCCTGTGTGGATGCTTTCTCTTAGAAGCAAGGATGATCCTGTTCCCTGCAGTTTAATCTGTGAGCTTGAAGCCACAGTGCTTCATCCTGAAAGGGTCCAAAAAAAAAAAAAGTCACTCCTTGGCTCAATTAGCCTTAACTTTTTGGAGGCTGTCACCCTATAAGAGCTTAAGCAGTAACATTAACATGAGGATTTCCCATATGCTGTTCCTACCTGCTTCTTTCTGGCTAAGATCACAGAATTTTGCCCTCTCCTCTGTGACATATGAACAGCTGTCATATCTGCTGACATGATACGACACATCTGTGCCTCTCAAACTCCAACTTAGGAAGGGCCATGAACTGCACTTCCCTTGGTTTCAAATCTGCTTGTGCAAGGGCTAAATAAAAAACAAGGGAGAGCCTTATCCATGTTCTCATCAGCTTTTTTAGAAAAAAAGACCCTGAAAGAACAATTTCACATTCCAGAAAAATCAGTAGAAAAATGCAGGAGAATTTAACCTGCCAGATCTCCATTCTTGTGTTGTGACCAGACTGCTTGTGGTAGAAAAGCTTGTTTACAGTTAGCTTGGGTTTCTCTGCGTAACACCATAGACTGCAGCATACTTACATCAAGAGCAATTACTGAAAAAAACATTGTCCTCAAACATACCTCTAAATAGATGTTTACTTGGTTTTGTCCCAGTTTTTTGCTTGCTGTTTTCTGGTTTGGACTACCTCCTTTGGTCTTTGGAAAGTTAGCTTAGATTCTGGGTATGAACACTTCCAATTTGAGTAATGAAAGTAAGTAAAATTGAACTCAAAATTCCTGATCCCTGCCTACCTTGAAAACATGGTGAGTGTTGAGGTGTATCCTCCCTCAGAGCACTTTGAGCTTCCTGACTTGAAGAAACTTCCTGCTCTGCTGGAGTCCAGGGCCTTGTTGTGCAATGTGCCAGGCTCTGCCTGTGTGCTGTATAAGAAAGCCAAGAGAGAACTGAACAGTCTTTTATTCTGCTTGGAATTCAAAGCATTTTTCTAAATCTCACCAAAAAGAAAGGTAGGTTTAGCTATTTCGTTACTGTTGCTGTTTGCAACATCTTATTTACTTATAATTTTGTAACAAGTGGTTTAGAGCTGTATTTCATAATATTAACCATGAACTGAGTACAGAAAACAGCCAAACTATATGCTTTGTCAGCAACCTGTAAAGTGAATAACGTATATTAAGAAAAGTCACATTGGGTAAATAACACTGTGAACAATTGCTTTGAAATGAAAAGAATTTACCACATCATTCTCTGGAACCCTTTAAAACATCCAGCAATAGGCAACCCCCTTCTCAATGTTCAGACTTCATGGTTAGGTGTGCTAAGGTGCTCCATTCTCAGGAGATCAATGTGCTAGATTGTCTACAGAACAGGACAAAAAAAAAAAAAAAAAAAAAAAAAAGGAAAAAAAAAAAAAAAGAAAAAGGATGTCATTCTAGGGATGAGCTTGTGACCTACATTGCAATCCCTAGATTTAAATCCCTTTTCACTAAAAAATGCAGAATAATAGATTCTTAATGGGCAATTGGATCAGCCCTCATTCTCATTTTTTGCCTTATTGTTTGATACCTTTCTCTGTCTCCTTATGCCCATGCCTCTACTCTTCTGTATGATTGCCCCTAAAACCAAATCATTGCCTCTTGTGAATTTTAGGCCTTTTTTTCCAAAAAGTAGTTGCAACGGATGTATTGTTGTCATATGCGAGTTAAAAATCTGCCACAGATACACATATTTGCAGAAGACAAATATGACAACAGTGTAACACTTTTGTGTATGTAGTCCTCTAGCTTCTTGTTTTTGAAGTAATTGGAGACTTAGTACTCACAGAATCACAGAATCATAGGGGTTAGAAGGGACCTCCGGAGATCATTGAGTCCAACCCCCTGCCAAAGCAGGTTCCCTACACCAGGTTGCACAAGTAGGTGTCCAGGTGGGTCTTGAACATCTCCAGAGAAGGAGACTCCACAACCTCCCTGGGCAGCCTGTTCCAGTGCTCCGTCACCTCACTGTAAAGAAGTTCTTGAGCATGTTTGTGCGGAACTTCCCATGCTGCACTTTCTGGCAGTTTCCCCTTGTCCTGTCTCCACACACTGCTGAAAAGAGTCCAGCCTCGCCACTCTGCCCCCTGCATCTTAGATATTTATAGACCTGGATCAGGTCCCCTCTCAGTCTTCTTTTCTCAAGGCTAAACAGACCCAGTTCACTCAGCCTTTCTTCATAGGGGAGATGCTCCAGGCCCTTCACCATCTTTGTGGCCCTCCGCTGGACTCTTTCCAAGAGATCCCTGTCTTTTTTGTACTGGGGAGCCCAGAACTGGACGCAGTACTCCAGATGAGGCCTTACCAGGGCAGAGTAGAGGGGGAAGATCACCTCCCTCGACCTGCTGGCCGTGCTCTTCTTAATGCATCCCAGAATGCCATTGGCCTTTTTAGCCACAAGGGCACACTGCTGGTTCATGGCCAACCTGTCATCCACCAGGACACCTAGGTCCCTCCCTGCAGAGCTCCTCTCCAGCAGGTCATCCCCTAACCTGTATCGGTGCATGCAATTATTCCTCCCCAGATGCAAGACTCTACACTTGCTTTTGTTAAACCTCATCCGGTTTTTTTCTGCCCAGCTCTCCAGCCTGTCCAGGTCTCGCTGAATGGCAGCACAGCCTTCAGGCGTGTCAGCCAATCCTCCCAGCTTTGTGTCATCAGCAAACTTGCTGAGGGTGGCAATTATCCCCTCATCAAGGTCATTGATGAAGATGTTGAACAAGACCAGACCCAGCACTGGCCCCTGAGGAGCAACTCTAGTTACAGGTCTCTAACCAGACTGCACTGCCAACGATGACCCTCTGTGCTCTGCCAGTCAGCCAGTTCTCAACCCACCTCACTGTCCACTCATCTATCCCACACTTCCTCAGCTTTGTTATAAGGTCACCCAGCCAGAGACAACATCATAGAAGGCTACCAGTTTGGTCGAGCATGACCTCCCCCTGGTGAACCCATGCTGACTACTCCTGATAACCTCCTTTTCTTCCAGTTGTCTGGAGATGGCATCCAGCACAAGCTGTTCCATCACCTTTCCAGAGACAGAGGTGAGGCTGACTGGCCTGTAATTACCTGGATCTTCCTTCTTGCCCTTTTTGAAGACCGGAGTGACATTGGCTATCCTCCAGTCTTCAGGCACCTCCCCCATTCTCCAAGACCTCTCAAAGTTGACAGAGAGCAGTTCAGCAATCACCTCCGCCAGCTCCCTCAGCACCCGTGGATGCATCCCATTGGGTCCCATGGATTTATGAACTTTGGTGTTGCCTAGGCACTCTTGGACCGTGTCTTCCCTGACTAAAAGGAAATCTTCTGTTCCCCAGACCCTCTCACCAACCAACCTCCAGGGTCTGGGATTCCCAAGGGAGAGCTTTTTCATTAAAGACAGAAGCAAAGAAGGCATTCAGTATCTCCACCTTCTCAGCATCCCCCATTACTAGAACACCCCCCTCACTTAGTAGGGGAGCCACGTTCTCCCTAGTCTTCTTTTTACTCTTAACATAATTTAAAAAGCCTTTTTTATTATTTTTTATCATCTTTGCCAGATTCAATTCCAGGCAGGCTTTAGCCTTCCTCATTGCATCCCTGCAGGCCCTGACAACATTTCTACATTCTTCCCAAGTGGTCAGACCCTTTTTCCACATTTCATGGACCTTCTTTCCTTTGAGTTTGTGCATGAGCTCCTTGCTCATCCACACAGCTCTCCTACCATCCTTTCCTGATTTCTTGCTCACAGGGACACACAGCTTGGAAGAAGAGCTGTTTAAATGCTGACCAGCTCTCACAAGCCCCCTTACTTTCTAACACCCTAGCCTACGGGATAGCTTCAGGTATGTGTTACAGTGCTATGCCTTGCAGACATTAATTATGAATCCTCATCATTATTTCAAACATATGCTCTGGGTGCCCAACTATTTGGCAGCACCTACCTGAGTGCAGTTCTCATCATCATTGTCACGTTACAGTTTCTGAAATTGCTTTTGTATAAAGCCATCCATCTGGTACTCTGTTTTATTTTATTCTTTGCTTATTTAGATCATAATTACAGTTGTGAGGTATCATGGTAACTATTTACTTGATATTGATCTTATGTGTAACATCTGTTGGAAATGCCTGATCTGAATGTAATTAGGCAGCTTTTTTTTTGTTTGTTTTATTCTGAATCAGAGAATGTTCTTGTGCAAGAGCAATTTCATGTTTCTCAGGTGGCTGGTGTTTTAGCTCTGAGAATGGAACATAGAGGTGGAAACATTAGCCAAAATTCTAGAGTTGGTTGTGCATTTCTTAACTATTCTACTTTTAGACTCTATAGACTGCTGTGAAATTAGAATTAATTTTGCCTTATGACTTTTTAGACTTTAGAAGTCTTTGTATCTGGATATGGAATAGTACTTTTTTGTGTGTTTCAATGCTTTGGCTATTCTTAGCCCCTAAAGAGCTGAAGTGGTATTTTACCATCTAGAAGTGAAACAAAATTCAGGCCCACGAGAGACAGAGGCAATGCTGGTCATCAGGTCTGATTTCTGATTTGCAGTTTGCTTTTTCTTACTGCAGCAATAAGTACAGGGAATACTTCTTCCATTTAAGTGGCAGTGCATTGTAGCATTTTAGCCCAAATGAGTTTTCAGCAGAAGGACAGAGAGAAGGGGGAATTAAGAGTTTTATCCATTTAAGACTTTTTTCTTACAAGACAAACCTGTCATAGAGAAGGTAGGGACTTATGGAGTTTAAAACAGATTTATAATCTCCAGCCCCACCAATTATAAGGAGCTTTCTTGGAAATCTTATTCCCTGTGTTCTTGAAACTTCACTCTTTATTCAGTGTATACAACAATATATATTATAATTGGATTGCGTTGCTGCAGTGGAAAACCAGAAATTTAAGAAGAGGACAATAATATATGGCATTAAGTTTGTGGCTCATTGCAGGAAAAAAATAGGAATTTTTATGTCATTTTTATGTCATTATGTCAGCTTTTTTTATGCTCATCCTCTACCAATGTTCTACTCTGAAATCCTTTTAATTTATAGACAGCTTATACACAGCACATGAACCTCATGTTTCAGGTATCAGCCCTCAAGATCAGATGAAAATGCCTTGTGACCTTGTGGATCAGCCATAAAAGTGATACACACACATATCTCATTGACTAGGAATAAGCAAATTTTATTATAATATTCATTCATTCTTTAAAAAGAGCTACTTTCATGAGATCTACTTTATTAGTCTCACTGAAAACAAACAGCCTACAAAATCTTGAAAAAGCTCTGTGATAGGTCTTGAACTAAAGCTATTTTCAAGCTACTTCTCTTACATCTTGAGTCTAACCGTTTGCTCTATTACATGGCTCAGCTGTTTAGCTTACACATCAGAATGATATGACTGCAGACATCACAGCCACAGCTGCTGAATAATGAAACAATTTTTCACAGTCATCAACATTCTGTGAATAAACCCCGAAATTTCATGATTTCTTATACATGTATACTATACATGTTGTAAGCAACTCACATAGGTTATGTCTAGACTTATATATACATTTGTCTTCCATCTGAGAAATGTCCTCTTATCACTTAGGAGAACTGAAGGTAGTTCTCAGCTTTCCCACAGACCGTCTGTGCCTTGCAGGAAGAGATGAAGAACCATATCCTGCTAGCTGTGAACTGGCCTGCCTTCAAAAGGTTAATAAGAATTTAAAGCCAACTACTCTCCACATTTCTCAGATGTGTTTCAGAGTCAAAGAAGAGAGGAAGTTATGATATCTAATCCAAATAATAGCAGTAGATGGCCTGCTGATAATAGACTCCCCTTCTCAGGAGATCTCTTCCTTGAGGTGTGTGCATTTCTAAGTCCTAAGCCAAGAGAAATGGTGTATGTGTATACAGTGCAGATGGATTTGGAGGCTCTTCCCTCAGCTGAGACATAGCTGACAACAATTATTTCTACAGACTAATATTTGACATTTTGGTTTATTATACAAAAAATGCAATTGAGATTAATGAATTTGAAGAAATGTGGAAAAATCTGTTTCATAAAGCTCATTTGATTAGTGTTTCTATATCATGAGATTGTGACAGCATGTTACTTCTGGTGCATGTGGCATTTTGTAAGAGTGTGCCCTTTCTTCAGATGATTGTTTTTTATGTTTTTATTTTCCCAGGTCTTCCTGTTTCTCTTTTGCTGTCTATTAGAGTAAATATATTCAATACAAGAAGATTAATTGAACAAGGGGAAATGTTATAAGTCTGGGCAATATTTGGCCATTTGTCAGTGAGACAAGAAATTGTCTTTTTTAACCTATAAAGGAAAGTGATTGATTTGGAAAAAGA